TTTTTTTTTTTTTTTTAATAAACCTTGTATTCCCCTAAGGAATTTTCTCCGAATCAGAGTAAGAGCTTGACTGTTGTGAACCCATGAAACTGAGATTGTAAATAACTACAGAACTTGGCTAAAGCTCTGTCTGGGCGGGGTACCTTTGTGTGCAGGGACTGTGACTGGTCAGCCTGGCAGGTTTCCCTCAGATAAGCACCTTGGGTAATAGAAAAAGATACCGGTGAGATCCTTTAAGCTTTGAATTGAAATATGTGTGTCCTCAGCCAGTATCCCACAACCAAAGAGGCTAAGAGGACTTAGAGCCTGTGACTCTTTTATGGTTGTACAGTGGGAAAGGATTAATATTTCGTCATGTTAGGGACAAACAGAGTGGGAAACAAATGGGGAATTTAGGAAAAAATGCTGCATGTATGCAGGGGAAAATAATTGCGCATGGAAATTAAAGAGATTTTTATACAGCATGAAAATGACATAATCTGCGTGCTAGAAGGGCTGGTTGGCTCTGTTGGAGCAGTTGTTGGAAATTTGGTGCCTTTTCTTTGGCGTCCCCTCTGCAGCATTTAGCTCCTTTCCCATCTGGCAAGACCGTTGCTGCAGGAGTCAGCGGGTGGTGGGGAAATTTACCTTCCATGTCCTGGGTACTCAGAGTCCATCTTAAAGGTGCGGTAAGGATCTTACTCTTGTTGTTTGGTGCCGGTGAGTTGGTTCTGACTCATAGTGACCCTGTGTACAACAGAACGAAACGCTGCCTGGTCATGCACCATCCTCACGGTTGTTGCTCTGTTTTGTCTCATTGTTGCAGCCACTGTGTCAGTCCAGTTCCACTACTGTCCATAAGGTTTTCACTGGCCAGTTTCTTTCAGTAGTAGATCACCAAGTCCTTCTTCCTGGTCTGTCTTAGTCTGGAGGCTGTGCTGAAACCTGTTACCATGGGCGATGCTGCTGGTATTTGAAATACCAGTGGCATAGCTTCCAGAATCACAGCAACACACAAGCCACCACAGTACGACAAACTGACAGGCGAAGGATCTTATTGCATGTGTTAAAATCCTTTTAGTGCCTTTCCTGGAAAGATTCCTAATGTTCAGTTTAAATGAAAGCTGACTTTATGACTTACTTGCTGGACAGAATGTTAGTACTTAAAGGGACAGTAACCTAAATTATTTAATTACTATTTTAGAACATAAAGTGTAAGCATATTGAGTTAATAGAATTGGCAAATAAATACAATTATAGGATTGCTAAATTGATGAAAATTATAAACATTGGTTGTGTCACCGTGTGGAATTTCACAGTTTGTAAGGATGGAATAGTCTTAACACTGACGTAACTAGCTTGTACCTTCTTTCATTTACATCTAGGGTACAGGAAATGGAAGCAAAGACATATGTTGGCAATGTTGCATGCACATCTGTATACTTTACACATAATTTTAAATAAAAATAAGATGGGAAAAACTCTCCTATTTGGTGTGTGTGTGTATATATATATACACACACAAACACATATATATGTATAGAGTTTCTATATTAACAATGTTATGTTAACAATTTAACATTAGAAATTTAACAGTTTAACATTTGACTGTAGAGTTAGGTTAATGTTTAACATAACTCTACAGTAACAGGCTAGATATATTCAGTATATAGCTGCTTAGTTGTCACTGGATTATTTTTATCAATATAAGCAACCCAAACAGTATGATCAAACATGAATAGACATTTTTTAATCTGCTGTTAAAGGTTTTCACATCAGTGTTCTTCTTGTTGTGTGCCATTGAGCCAATTTTCGACTCATAGCGACCCTGTGGGAGAGAGTAGAACTGCCCTATGGGGTTTCCTAGGCTGAAATCTTTACAGGAGCAGATGACCAGGTCTTTTGTTCCGCGGAGCGGCTGTTGGTTCAAACCACCAACCTTTCAGTTGGCAGTCGAACGCTTAACCATTTGGGATGAAAAGAATGAATAATTACCTCATCCACAATATAGAATCTACTGGATTCAGATATTTAATTAATCTTACTTAAAGCACTGTTTACTTTTAAACTTATAAGTGAAAATTTGCTGTTATCTTCAGGCTCCTAACAGTATTGGCTTTGGGAAACAGAGCGAAAGATCCATGACAATGACCAAATCAATAAGAGATGACGTTCCTTCTGCTCAAGAGAATCTGATCAAGTGGGCTTTGGATAATGGCTATAGTCCAGTAACATCATACACAATGGCTCCTGTGGCTAATAGATTTCACCTTCGACTTGAAAACAGTGGTAAGTATGATTTTTTAAAAAAAATTTATATTAAACATACAATTTATTTCAGCTTATATGGTGCTGTTTTTCTACGGCACATTTTTAAATTATCTGGAATTGTGATAGGTAATTTTGGTGAAAATATATTTTATGTAGATTTTCAGAAAAATAGAGTGGATTGCATGTTAGAGAACTTTGTTATAGACTTAAGCCAATCACATTCACCGTGATTACATTAAGAATAAATTAAGCCTGGCCTTTCTCTCATAGGCATCCAGTGACTGCTTATGGCTGAGAATGCAGAGGGGATGGGACTATAGGGGAGAAGTCCTTAGTCAGAGGCTGTGTCTTCTGGGAAAATAGTCACGAGGACTCATGCTTGTGCTTTCTCATTCTCACCCAGAGGGAGAGCAGCAGTTATTTCTCCAATTTGATGGAGCAGAAAACATAGGCTCAACAAGTTCTTGAGGTTTACAAGAGCCTTAGAGCTAGCAAAATTCGAGCCCCAAATTTTCGGATCCCCAGTCCTGTTTGTCACTTCACGGACTGTGCTGAGTGCACTATTGGTAGAATGGGTCAAGTCCCAGCTCTGCCATTTATTCAGTTTGCGACAGGGGCAGTTGCTTAACCTCTGAGTCTCAGATTCTTCCGTGGGAAAATGGAGGAAGTTATAGGACTGACCTCTGTCTCTGTTGAAGTACCCATTTAAAACCTTTCAGAGCTTTGATTTCTTTTGGACCCATATGCCTGTGCCATCCTTCTCAAGAGGACAGTATTGAAGGAGGGTGAATGGGCACCAGTTGTCTTCACTTCCAACTTCCCCTGAAAGGGATTGACCTCAGGTTGGCTCTGGGTGAACCCATTGCCGTCGAGTCAATCCCGACTCACAGTGACCCAACAGGACAGAGTAGAACTGCCCCACAGGGTTTCCAAGGAGCAGCTGGTGAATTTGAACTGCTGACCTTTTGGTTAGCAGCTGAGCTCTTAACCACTGTGCCACCAGGGCTCCTGGCCATAGGTAGTAGATGTAAAGAATACAGTGAGAAGTATTGGTTAGTTTCTTCAGATTGTTGAAAATATGACAAAATATTGAGTTTGATTGTATAGAAATATGTCACCCACGTTTAAAAAGGTAAGTGTACCGAAGCAGCTTTTTCTTTTCCCTGTAAGGGCTGAGTTCTGAAAGGCTAGGGTGCCCAGATACTGGGGTAGCAAAATAATTTTAAAATATCTGTATAGATTTCACAAGAAATCTTTAGAGAAACTGTTCTAAAGACTCTGTAGACTCAAAGAAATTCAGTGAAATTTGAATGGAATAATATTGTCCCACATAATTTATTTGAGCGATAGATTTTTACAGCTTGTAGACCTTAGAAGTTATCTAATCCAGTAGTTCTCTGCCTTGGATAAACATTAGAATCACACGGAGAGCTTTTAAAACATTAATGACTGGATCCCACCCCCAGGGAGTCTGATTTTTAATTGGCCTGGGGTGCTGCTTGGGCATAGAGATTTTCTTTTTTTAAGCTCCCAGGCTGATTTTATTATGCAGCTAAAATTGAGAACCAATCCCCTAATTTAAAAAATTAGGAAACGGAGGCACAGAGAAGTAAGCCACTTGCCCAAACTCACTCAACTAATTATGGAGAACACCAGGACTCTAGAATTCAGGCTTCCAGACTCCTAATCTCTTTTATGTGTTGCTTATTAAAGGTTATTTTACACATGTCCATTCTGTGCTTATTCCTCCTCTTTTTGCCTCTCTTGATGATGATTCTGGCCTAGCATCATGAAACACTAATGATGCTTTGCCTTCTCTGTTCCCCCCAGAGGAGATGAGAGATGAGGAAGGCCACACCATCCCCCCTGAGCTTCGAATCCTGCTGGGCCATGGCACCCTGCCCGCCCTGGAGAACCCACCCATCCGGGGAGGGGGAGGCCAAGATGGAGGCTTCCCCTTTCCTTTCCCCGACATCTCCAGGAGAGGCCAAAAGGAAGGGGAAGAAGATAGGATCTTCTGGCCAAAGGACCCCGTGAGTCCCAGCGTGCAACTATTTCCTGATCGCAGAGAACCAGAAGAGGTGCAAGGGCGCGTGGATGTTGCCCTGTCAGTCAAATGTGACAAGGAAAAGATGACTGTGGCTGTAGAAGAAGATTCTCTTCAGGTCAGTGCAGCTTCTTAAAGGAGAGTGGGCCACCTCTTTCCCCATCTTGCCCCCAGTCTGTGCTAGTTATTTCCCTCTGGCTCTGTCACTTTTTGAACTCCGGAGACTTGATACTGTTTTCTCAGTTGGATGGGCCTACTTCCTTTGGCTGCAGTTCTCACCCGGTTCCTGTTGTTTTCAGTTGGGGGATGGGGAAGGGGTGGCAGATTCTTGTGTGTCAATATTTTGCTGTTGAATTTCCAAAGCCAAGAAACACAGTCCTTGGGATCTTGAGAGGTAGTAGACTGGGAAGAGATAGGTGGGAGCGGGGGAATGCAAGCCTCTAGCAACCTTTACTTGGAAGGTCAGGAAGAATCTATTAACTGTGTGTAGCAGAACTGCCTGTGGGCCCCCCATTATGTCTTGGACGGTTGTTGTTTCAGGCCAGCGGCTACTTGGGGATGGATCTCACCCTGTTGGATCCTACCTGCAAGGCCGAGATGAATGGCACCCACTTCATCTTGGAGTCTCCCCTGAGTGGCTGTGGTACTCAGCACCGGCGGTCAGCCCGGGACGGCATGGTTTACTATAACTCTGTGAGTGTTCTCCAGAACAAAGCCTTGCCCTTCGCCAAAGCCTTGCTCAGTGTTATCATTAGCCTTCATTCTATCAACAGAGTCTTAAGATTTATATGAAAATGAGGAGGGGGGTACCCCAGGCCTGGATAAAGCCAAGTGTTAGTTCTCTACAAAACGTAATGCACTTTGACTCTGAACTCTTTTGTTGTTTCCTTTATTGGTGAATCTGTGGGAGTTGGGAGGCCCCATTCTCTTGGCTGGGGCATTTGTGGCAATCTCTCCCACCTCCTTCTTCTAGGTCCTTCCAGAGCTGAATGCAGCAACGGGTTCACTGGCAAGATAATTACAATGTCTCTCTATGGCCAAGCTGCAGTGTCAGATGGCCTGGTCCTTGTAGGGATAAAATCCAAGGTCTTGGGCTACAGTTGAGCACCTCTGCACTGCTGAGCTAACCAGACATGTGATCTTTCTGGCCTCATTTAAGCCTTGTCGAGAAGTGGGAGGACCCTCCCTCCCTCCCTCCAAAAGAGAGAAAGTCAAAGTGCATCACATTTTGTCCAGAAGTGGGAGGACCCTCCCTCCCTCCAAAAGAGAGAAATCTGAAAGAGGCATTTAAGAAATTATTATTAAGTCTCTTTCTTCACCTCTAAGAGAGGCCCCAAATGGAAGTTATCTGGAGGGAGATTCTACATACTGCCCTAATGATAATCTATTGTGATAGCTAACCTTCACTTTCTGAAAATCATTCTTATCAGTTCATCTAAATCCTTTTTATTTGGAATAAACCCATTTTCTTAGAGATAGAGACTAGGCAGTGAATATGAAGAGAATTTAAAACATGAAATCTCAAAAAAAACTTTACAGTGTTAATTTTGCAGTTTTGCAGTGTTAATTTTGATGGCAGAGGTGAAGCTCAGATACCCCTGTGCTCTGCTTTGACATAATGTGTGTGTATGTACTTACTCTCAGTGCCTAGTCCAGGCGTGGGGTGCTGCTAACTCTTAATTCAGTTTTGCTGTGGGCTGGGGCATGGGGCAGCTGCAAGCTCTTTCCACTGCTGGTTGACAGATGCATTTGACCTAATTCAGAGAAGAGACTGGCAGTCAGGGTTCATGTGAGGACTGGCCCTCCTGTGAGCCTGAGTTCATTGCCTCTCAGAGAACTTTAGGATATTTGAGCTGGAAAGAACTCTAAGATGATCTCATCCAACTTCCTCATTTCACAGGTGAGGAAATTGAACTCCAGAGAGTTAAGAAACTTGCTTATGTTCAAGGGACTAGTTAATAGCAGAGCCAGGACTGAATTCAGCTTCCTGACTTCTGGTCCACTGATCTTGCCCAACACCAGCCTAGCCCAGCAAATCTCCCCGTTACCTGTATAAGTTATTAACCATTGACTTCTATAAAAAATACCCTTCTACCAGTTACAACACTAATTTTCTTACAATTATCCTGTTTTTCCTACAGTTACCCACTTTTTCCAGATATAATGAATGCCATATGTTGCTGATTCACTGGATTTCAGCATTTTAAACTGGTGTCCAAATTAACACTAATAAGAGGCTATGATAATCTGTATGTTAAAAAAGTATATATATGTGTATATATATATATTGCCTCAGGAGAGAAATGTATTATCCAGAGGCCTGAAGTTCCCTTCCTTTTTATGTATTACTATTTTCTTTATTTATGATACCCAGTGTAACCAGTATCCTAGGTACTAGCTTCCTTTGCATCGATACTTCTCTTTTGAGGACCTGGGAAAGAATAGAGAGATAGTGTTGCTTCATTCTCTTCCCATCCTACTTCCTTCAGTGAATAATTCTAGCTATTTGTTCCAATTATAATTGCTTATAGTAATTTTCAGACTTACTACAGGTTTTTATTTTGCAACATGTTCAGAATGCAATCATGCGAAGCCCTTCCCCTGCAAAAAGGAAAGAAAAGCATGACTACTTTAAGGAGTCCCATAGAGCTATACTACATTTACAAAAAAATTAGGGTTTTATTCATGGAGTCCTGGTCCTTGGTTGGAGCCCTGGTGGCGCAGAGCTTGGCTGCTAACCAAAAGGTCAGCGGTTTGAATCCACCAGCTGCTCCTTGGAAACCTTAGGGGCAGTTCTTCTCTGTCCTGTAAGGTGATTATGAGTCAGAATCAACTTGATGAGTATGGTCCTTGGTTGAATTTTTTCATCTTCGCTAGAACTAATCCAGGAATAATCATTCTAATAAGTGTTAAAACAGATTAACACTGTCTTAACTGGAATAAAATGTGATGCTCTTTTCTGTGTCCATACAGAATGATACTGAGGAAGAATTGAGTAAGAGAAAAGACGAGGAGAAGACTGGCTCAAAAGTAAACATTAGAAAGAGTTTGTTTCTAATTCAAAGGAAACTTTATACAAATCTGGAAAGATACAAATAACAAAAAGTCCCCTTTGCAGTATAGGTCTATTGACAACTCCATTTCAGTATCTGGTGTTTTCTCACTGTTTGAAATAATTTGTATTTCTTCACAAAGGAAAAAATATATTTCCGTGCAAATCTTAATTCGAACCTGCATTGTTGTTCTCTCTGAAGATGAAATCCCAAAAACTTGAAGTTTTTTTAAGTCAGATTTTCCATTCACATCTGAATTATTATGTGGATGTTCATGTGAGGTAGAAACAATTGCAGGCAGCTTGGTGTTTTTATAACATTGGTGAACTGTGCTTTCTTTGCCTTTTAGATTGTGATACAAGTTCCATCCCCTGGTGATAGTAGTGGTTGGCCAGATGGTTATGAAGATTTGGAGTCAGGGGATAATGGATTTCCAGGAGATATGGATGAAGGCGATGCTTCCTTCTCCAGGCAGCCTGTAATTGTGGTGGTATGTGTTTGTTTTCAAAAGGTGGTTGTAGAGAATTTTGTGTTTTTGGTTGACTTTAGTTAGGAACTGTCAAAATATGAGACTGAATGTTAAAGGCCAAAGCTCACAAAGCTACAGGGCCTTCATCCTTCATTTGACTGTGGTTTATCGCTGTGTTTGTTTGTTTTCCCAGTTTAATTGCAGCCTGCGGCAGGTGGGGAATCCCAGTAGCTTCCAGGACCCCCCCAGCAGAAACATCACCTTCAACATGGAGCTGTACAACACTGACCTCTTTCTTGTGCCCTCCCAGGGGGTCTTCTCTGTGGCAGAGAATGGACACGTTTATGTTGAGGTGAGAGCAAAACTTTAGCCCTGGGCTGTTAGGTGAGCACTGAATTGTGGTTCCTGGGACATTAGCTTAAAGACCCCTGTAGTTTCCCTGCAGAGGACCTCTTCCTGCTCATCTCATGGCCCTTGACCAGCTCTATGTGTGGGCTTGGCTCAGAAAACACTTATGTTTGATTTCTGACCAGAGTAGGCCATTTCAGAACTTAGTACATAATGCTAAATGAAGAGAGTGTTTTGTAGATGAATGTTAAAAAAAAAAAAAAAATTGGCAGAATGGGAATTCTAATAAAATCCTATCCTTGCTTTGTCCTCACCATTTTTGAGACAAAATGTCAGTAGTTGCAATGTCAGTTGACTATGGAATATTTCAAGCCACCTTGCATATTATCTTTTAAATTGCACTCACTTTTGAGTAAAATACTGTGTGCCACCATATCTTGGATCTTGGCTGAAAGCAGAGAATACCAGAAAGACATTTACCTGTGTTTTATTGGCTATGCAAAGGCATTCAACTGTGTGAATCATAGCAAATTATGGATAAAATTGTGAAGAATGGGAATTCTAGAACACTTAATTGTGCTCATGAGGAACCTATACATAGACCAAGAGGCAGTCATTCGAACAGAACAAGGGGATACCATGTGGTTTAAAATCAGGAAAGGTGTGTGTCAGGGTTGTATCCTTTCACCAAACTTATTCAATCTGTATGCTGAAGCAAATAATCCGAGAAGCTAGACTATATGAAGAAGAATGCGGCATCAGGATTGGTGGAAGACTCGTTAACAACCTACAGTATGCAGATGACATGACCTTGCTTGCTGAAAGTGAAGAGGACTTGAAGCATTTCCTGATGAAGATCAAAAACCACAGCCTTTTCAGTATGGATTGCACCTCAACATAAAGGAGACAAAAATCCTCATGTCTGGACCAATAAGCAACATCATGATAGAGAAAAGATTGATGTTATCAAAGATTTCATTTTACTTATATCCACAGTCAACGCCCATGGAAGAAGCAGTCAAAAAATCAAATGATGCGTTGCATTGGGCAAATCTGCTGCAAAAGTTTCCTCTTTAAAATGTTGAAAAGCAAAGATGTCACCTTGAGGACTGAGGTGCACCTGACCCAAGCCATAGTATTTTCAGTTGCTTTCTATGCATGCGAAACCTGGACAATTAATAAGGAAGACCAAAGAGGAATTGATGCCTTTAAATTATTGTGATGATAAAGGATATTGAATATACTATAGACTGCCAGAAGAAAGAACAAATCTGTCTTGGAAGAACTACAGCCAGAATGTTCGTTAGAGGTAAGGATGGCGAGACTTCATCACACGTACTTTGGACATGTTATCAGGAGGGACCAGTCCCTGGAGAAGGACATCATGCTTGGTAAAGTAGAGGGTCAACGAAAAAGAAGAAGACTGTCTTTTTCGAGATGGAATCCCGAGATGGATTGACACGGTGGCTGCAACGATGCACTCAAACACAGCAACAATTGTGAGGATGGCACAGGACCGCGGGGTGTGTTGTTCTGTTGTACATAGGGTCACTATGAGTCAAAACTGACTTGATGCACCTAACACCACCATATCTCATGAACGTTGTTTTTTTTTCCCCCAAGTCATTATCTAAATGTATCTATAAACTTTTTAGAACTGTTTCCTATATATAATGGTAATAATCATGTACAGGAGTCCTGGTTGGTACAAATGTTTAATGCATTCTGCTACTAACTGAAAGGTTGGAGGTTCATATCCACCTAGAGGTGCCTTGGGAGAAAGACCTGTCAATCTATTTCTGAAAACTTAGCCATTGAAAACCCTACAGAGCACACACCGTTCTACTCCGACACACGAGGTTACGAGTCAGAATTGACTTGATGGCAACTAGTTTTAGTTTAATCTTGCATAGCATAGTCTGTAGAGTGACTGTAAAATATTAAGTAGTGGTGGTAATGATGAAGGACCCCTGGTGGCACAGTGATTAAAGCACTCAGCTGCTAACTGAAAGATCAGTGGTTCGAACTGATATGTGGCAGTCTGCTTCTGTAAAAGTTTACAGCCTTGGAAACCCCATGGGGCAGCTCTACTCTGTCCTATGAGTTCACTATGAGTCGGAATCAACTCGACAGCAGCGGGTTTGGTTTTTGGTTAACATTTATTGCAGATTACTATATGCCAAACACAGTTGTAAGTATTGTAATTAATTTAATTTAATTACTAGATTAATTAATCTGATTCCATGAGACAGGTCTGTTAATATCCCCATTTTATGGATGAGAAAATTGAGGCACAAACTTGCACAAGGTCACATAGGTAGTACCTAGAAAAGCTGGAGTTCACAGCAAGGCAGTCTGGCTCCAGAGCCCACACTGTAACCTACTGGATGCTACTATCATCTGTCCTCAAAATGCCATTCGAAAGGGGAAAAAATGTACCCTCTTAGCTTTGCAAATATCGAGGTTCACGGACTGGATTCTAGAGAAGGTAAATTTCTTTATGGCACCAGGATGCCTGTGTTTGGCACAACAAACAACTTCAGTGTTTCCATTGGGCATATTGTCTCGTGATCTTACAGGAAATCCATCCTTTCATGAGCTAGTTTTGGTGCTAAGCTGCAAGCTGCTGTTCTGCTGCACTTGCAGGAGGGGTGAGAAGCTTACGGGCTCGAAATGGGATACTTCCATCTATTAAAACTGACCTCAGCGCACATATTTCTATTTTAGAAAGACAAATAGCTCCACATTTGCACTGACTCTGGGACAGAGCCTGCTGGCTCTAGATGTTGTTTTCCTGAATCATATGGATTCTGACCCCTCACTCCTTTTTGATTTTCTGTCCTGAGAGGTCTTCTCTTTCTTTGGGTAAATCTCTGTTTTCCACTGGAAAAAAATACGCTGCTTTCTACACGCAGTTTCTACTTCAAGATCACTAAACCACGATCGCTGTTTTTCTCTTGCTTTTCTGGCTGCACAGTGCACATGTGCCATTGGTAAACAGTTTCTATTGTGCTGTGGATTGTAGGGGCGCTGCCTAAGTGCAGTTTGTTCTTTTCCAAATGTGTGCCTGGCTTTGCTAATTGATGACTTTGCTGGTTTATGCTAATTGGTGGCCAGATGTCCTCAAGTAGCCTACCCTGGGTGTTTTGAGTTTTCTTCCCCATCTTCCTAATACTTGAAATACATTATTATTTTCCTTTTATTTTTTCATTTTGTTTTCCCATTTATACCCTTTCATTTATCATCTATATTTTTCATAGTTAAATTTAGCCAGTGAAGTTGTCAAGTGATGAAAAAGAAATGGACTCAATCTTTTTGCTACCATTTTAATATCAAATGTATTGAAGAGAATTTTGGAGGGGGCAGTATTATAAACTACTTTATTTTAAAGTTGTTTTAAACTACCGAAAGTATGAGAGGGAATTTGTAAATGTTTTTGCTAAAGAGGATAGCAGCCATGCCTAATGGGTAGCAACCGTGCCTAATCGTTGGTTTCCCAGTTTGACTTTACTGCTGATAGGAAAATGTTTTACTTAGGTTAAAGAAAACTTACTAAATCATTGGCTTGGTTTAAAGAACTATTTCTAGGTGTCTTCTCCCAGCCATCATTCTTTTTCACATCCCCTCCCAGAATCCCCTGTTCGTCTATACCACCATCCCTTCCTTTAAGACAAATGATACCACAGTTTTGCTACCTGTTCTTTGGTCATCTCTGGGTGCTAATTGGTCATATGATGGCAGCTTTTCTTAATTCTTTTGGCTTGGGGAATTAAAAAAAAATTATTTATAACCAAAATAATTTATTTATTTGGCAGTTTCTTCTTTTTTTTTTTCCCCGTACAAAAATTTATGCATACATTGTTATGTGACTCTAATTGCTCTCTCCATACAGTGATAGCACACTCCTCCCTTCCGCTCCTGATTCCCCATGTCCATTCAGCCAGTTCCTAACACTCTCCACCTTCCCATCTCACCTCCGGACAGAAGCTGCCCGTTTAGTCTCTTGTATCTACTTGAGCTAAGAGGCACACTCCTCACGAGTATCACTTTATGTCCTGCAGTCCAATCCAATCCCTGTCCGAAGAGTTAGCCTTGGAAATTGTTTTAGTTCTGGGCTGACAGAGAATCCAGGGGCCATGCTTTCCGGGGTTCCTCCAGTCTCAGTCAGACCATTAAGTCTGGCCTTCTTACTAAAATTTGAGTTCTGCACCCCTCCTTTCTCCTGTTCTATCCGGGTCTCTCTGTTATGTTCCCTGTCAGGGCGGTCATTGGTGGTAGCCGGGCACCATCTAGTTCTTCTGGTCTCAGGCTGATGAAGTCTCTGGTATAACCAAAATAATTTAAATCTAGGCTAGTACTACTAATAATAGTAGGCATTTATTGAATAGCTGAGAACTGTGTTATTTGCATATAAGTTTTACTTACTAATTCTCAGAATAACTTAAGCTAGTAGGTATTAATGCCCCTATCCTATAGGTGAGGAAACAGAGCCTCAGGGTCCCCAGCATGTAAACAGCAGAGCACGATATTTCCTAGGGCTTGTCTCACTCCAAAGCCTGTGGTTCTACAGCTCATTTCCAGTCCATTTTAGATTAAAAGATTACTGATAACATTTTTCCTCCAAAGCAACTTTTTGGGATACCGTAGACATTCTATCATTACATACTCTTTGGAAGGAAATATTTACAGTTCTTCTATTACACATTTTTGCTATGTGGGTTTTGAGTTCATGTTAAAAGACACTTTTTAGTAAAGGATATATGCAATTTGCCATCTCTCCAAGGTAAACTATTTGCTTTTTCAGAAATATTACAAAAATAACCAAATACCACTTCCTAGAGAGATGTCTTGCAAAGAATTCTCCCCAGAGCCACATGATGGCCCTGGTTAAATTGACCCTGTAGCTACAGTGAAGCAGTAAAGAGAGAATTGACTTGGGTTCAGAAGACCTGAGTATGAGCATTGGTTTTATCCAGTACTTGCTGTATACGATTTTGAGTAAGTCATCTATCCTGTGTGTTCAATTTTTCTTCCATTTATAAAATGGAGATGAAAATACCTCACGAGATTGTTCTCTGGGAATAAATAAGTGTACGCAAAAACTTCTTGTAAGCTTTAAGATACCCCAAGAAGCTGTTGTCGTAATCATCTTATTAGCATCCTCCTCCTCCTCGTCTTCATTGTTGAGTGTCCTGTAGTTAACCACATAGGCGTCTTCCACGTTAGTGCTGAGGACTCAAAGCCCCTTGCAATGCCAGGGATTTCCCCTGAGTATCTCAGAGTGGAAAGTTTGTTTGTATCGCCCTGTCATTTGAAAGGATTCCAAGGCTATTGGCTTATGGTTAAATATTAACTTTATTTCTGAAGTCTTTAAGTTTATTTTGATCCTAAGTTTAATTAAGGAATGAGGTATGCAGAGTAGGGACAATTCACGAAGTGATCCATGTGTCACCAAATGGAGAATCCAGTCTGGAGCAGGTTTTTAGCTGAGTTCAGGACCCTGAATTGTTTACACTTGGCCAAACACTACTTCCTGTTTCTAAAGAAAAGAACCTTAACAAGGTTTGGACCTAGCCCATACAAATGTTTTCTAAGAGGGAAGTGTAAATGAGTCAGAAACGTTTCTAGATTAGATTTCCCTTCAAGTACTCCTGGGCTTAAAGAATGAAGGGAGGGAGGGTACTTGGCAAGACCTGAGTTGGACCTGTGAGCAGCTGGGACACTTTGCCAGGCTCGTGATCGCCACCAGATTGCACCGTCCCTCACATCCAGCACCAGAGGCCAGCCCTGCCTGCTCACCAGTGAATCTGTGGCTTTACTGTAATGTTTCAGGCTTAGTGGGGCAAATGGTTTGCACTCAACTACTCATCTAAAGATTGGCAGTTCAAACTCACTCAGTGGCACCATGGAAGAAAAGCCTGGTGATCTGCTTTTGTAAAGATTACAGCCAAGAAAACCCTTTGGAGCAGTTCTACTCTATAACACATGGGGTCGCCATGAGTTGGCAGTGGGTTTTTGGGTGTTTGGGTTTTTTCCCCTAATTTGTTGCAGTTTAGAAGCTTAGTCCTCCCTGTTTGGGTTTAAATAGATTCTGCCTCTGTCCTCTGTGGTTTGGTTGGTTGTTTATTTGTTTTTGTTTTTTGAGCACTTTTAAAAAAGAACTCGCATTACAAATGATACGCTGTGTGGAGCTAGGGGCTTTTCCTTTTGGTGCTTTATTTAGTTTGGAAAATTCACTTTAGGTACATGCTATGCTTTTATTTTTATTTCCCAGATGACTCATGGCAGTTGAAGAGACTTACTTTGTATTTGAATCTTCCAGGCTGTCATTTGAACTATATAATTCATTGTCATCATCCACGTTAAGTTTAAATGGAAAACATTTCTTTCTTCAATGAATGGATGTTACTTTTGTAATTAGAAAGAAGACTGTATGTTATGAGAATAAAGCAGTGGCTCTTATCAGAAGGACCATGCCAGTGTGTTACTGTTGTGCCAGAGTAAAAGTGGGATGCTAACTCATTTCTAACTTGATCTTTCTGTTTGTTTATAGGTATCTGTTACTAAGGCTGACCACGAACTGGGATTTGCCATCCAAACATGCTTTATCTCTCCATATTCGAACCCTGACAGGCTGTCTGATTACACCATCATTGAGAATATTTGTCCTAAAGATGAATCTGTGAAATTCTACAATCCCAGGAGAGTACACTTTCCTTTCCTGCAAGCTGAGATGGACAAGAAGCGCTTCAGCTTCGTTTTTAAGTCCATCTTCAACACCTCGCTGCTCTTCCTGCAGTGTGAGCTAACGCTGTGTACCAAGAAGGAAAAGGACCCCCAGAAGTTGCCTAAGGTTAGTGGGTCTCCATCCATGTGGACTGCTATTTTGATATTTTGGATGAGACAGTGACTTACTGGAGAAGTTTAATCTCATATTTTTGCAGGTTGAGATTTCTGGTTTTGGAACTGCCCAACTGAAGTAATAAAGTCTGTGTTATCAGGGACCTGTGAGTTTTATGGAATCTTAGAAAATAAATCTTGACAGTGTGAATTTTTTTTTCCATGCACACTACTTAGTAGTGCTTTACGAGTGATAAATCAAGACTGTTTTCCATTGAGGGAGAGGTCTGGCTTTATCTTTGCTGTTCAGGTAGTGTGCAATGCCAAAAATATAGAGAGCCGAAAGGACAAGTTTAGTGTGAGGATTAATTTTTCCAGGCCCCACTGAGACTTGTATTGCAATTGTTTTTTGACCTTCTCTGTGTGAGTTATAAGGTTGACTTGTCTCTGGAGGGCCTCTCGGGGAAACTAACAAATATTTTAATTTTTCTCTGTTTCATACCAGTTTATCATGTTAGCTTCATTTTACTCCCCATGCTGAACTAGTACATTCTGTTGGCCATAACAGAAATTAGAACCATTTGACCTTGCTGGAATGGCTGCTGTAGGGGGATCTATAAGGCTATTTATGGTACCTCATCAGGCCAGGCTTGTATATGAAAGATGTTTTCTGCCTTAAGTTTGTTTCTGTGATCTGCTGCTGTTGTTGAGTCGGCTCCAACTCATGGCTACCTTATGTTTAACAGAACAAAATGTTGCCTAGTTCTGTTGTTATGGTGATTGTGTCAGTCCATCTCATTGAGAGTTTCCCTTACTGCCATAAATGTGAATAATTTCTTATGTACATCTATTAACGTAGCTATCTCACACAGTATAAGATGACTTCTAATCCTTTTTTTTTTTTTTTTGGTATAGAGCAATGGTTAACAGCTCAGCTGCTAACCAAAAGGTCTACAGTTAGAATCCACCAGCTGCTCCTAAGAATCAAGCTGTATGGTTAATAATACCTTGTGTGTATGGAATTCTCTCATTTAGAGCACAGTTTGTAAAGGATAGGTGTAGGGGTAGGAGGAAAAATTATCATTATTGGAGAGATTACCATTGATCTGAATCCTTTATACCATTTTATTCTCCTGGGCATCCATTTCTCCTATAACACCAAAGAAAATTTTGTTTACATATGAAATTATAGCAAATCTGATCGTAATCATTAGGGAGCTTGTATATGTAAGCTGATTTAGCCTGTATTCATTAGGTTGTTTTTGGAAACATTGATGCTTTAGGCTTGAGGGCATTTGCCTTCTCGTGACCATCAAGGCTGGGGCTTAGTGGGCAGTGGTAGAGAGCCGTGGGGAACTTAGTGCTTGGCTGTGGGACCCAGCCACTTGCTACAGGCAAAAGGATAACTCTTTTAAGAGTTAGAGATCTAGGAGAAGAGGAAGCCTGGCAGTTACCAGGGGTCTTTGCTGGTGGCTTTGAATGTTGCATCTCCCTGATCTTGGCCCCAAACAATGTAGCTTTACAGTGTGCTAATCCACAAAAGTTAACCTAATATATCCTTCCAAAACACTGTGAGGAGAGTTCTAAATCAGGAGACGACGTGGGATGTGACCTAAAACTAAAATGTCCATTTACCCCCAAGTGCAATGGGATACTGTGGAAGAAGCATGGGAACTGGAGAAAGAAGGCCTATTACTTACTAACGGGACTTTAAGCAAGCCCCTTGACATCTCAGAACCTGCATTTCCTCATCTCTGAAATGGAAATAATAATACCTTATTTCCCTTCTTGATAGAGGAGCAAATTAGACAATAGACGTAATGGTAATTCACTACAGTGCAGTGGCTTAGAATGATCTATTTTCATTGTTTTCCTATTCACTGCTGATAGTTAATATTTTCAGCCTGAGTGACTTCTGAGTGCTTTTTATGTCAATAGTCAGAGCCAAAGAATTTTCTAGGACAAGATCTCAAAGATCATGGAGTACAACCCTGTCCTTTGCTGATGACACTGAGACCCAGAGAAGTTAAGTGTCTTGCCCAGGGCCACCCAGCTAACACTGAGTTAGTAGTAGACTCATAAACTTACTTAACTGAAGACCTAACAGGAAATTCAGAAGAGACTTTCCTAAAATGCAAATCGTTTCATTAATGATACCTCTCCACAGAAAACCATTGTTTTCCTCTACAAGACAGCTTACTGTAAAGGCTTTTCTATTTTTTGGGGGGGTAGGATGGTGTGGGGTAGGAGGATGGGATCTTCTTATGTGTCTCACTTCCATGTTGCTCAGAGCAGAAATGACGGTAAAGCCAAAAATCTTTGCTTTTTTGTGATAGATGTAGCTAGAAGTTAATCAACTTTTTGGGGTGCCTTGATAGAGACTTTTTAAATGATCAATATATTTCTTTTTATAACAAAAGTGAATGAGTGTTATTCACATTAGCATTTCACTCATTGATGAGCACAGATAAGGAGCCAGAGTTATTTTAAAGAAAAAGGTATTGGAGCATGATCATTTATTTTCAAAGTAGATACCATGGACCTGGACATGGTAGTTATAAATTTAGGGCCTTAAGATAGCTAGAAGCAGCGACTCTCATGGCCTCCACACCTGGGCACAGCTCCCCAGGACCTGCGTTTTAGAACATTAAAAGCAGATGACTCTGGAAAGTTCCATGGTGCATGAACCTATACCAGGATTAAAAAATCAAACAAACTCGACAACATGATTATCTTTTTGGACAACTAAATATAAAATCTGTCACCTTCATAACACAATACATGAAGTCTCCCACAATCACAAATCACAAAAATGAACCATTTATGTGAAGCCAACTTGGTGAAGGGCCAACATTAGTCATATGGTTTCTCTGTTATTCAGACTAAATAACACCAAAACTTCTAGTTGTTTTGTGGGAAGAATCAAAATAAAAAAGACAGCATTCACAAGCCATCCAGGGGTATTTGTATCTTCAAATGCAGCTGAGAATACACTGGGCCTGCCACTGTATCTCCCAGGTTATTTAGGGGCCTTTGGAAAACACCCCCATTTCCTCTTTCTCAGAGGTAAACAGCTGGAACTGGCCTGATAAGAGGCTGGGACAGCTGTGCAGGCTGAGCTGGTGACCCCTGACTGTACTTTGCTCTGCATCCCTGCAGTGTGTGCCTCCTGATGAAGCCTGCACCTCGCTGGATGCCTCCATGATCTGGGCCATGATGCAGAACAAGAAGACATTCACCAAGCCCCTGGCTGTGATCCACCATGGAGGAGAACCTAAAGGTACGCTTTGGGAGGCTCAATCAGAGAGAATAGGGGCCTAAGGGCTGTGCCTTAAAAAAATCCAATTCAGTAAAAAGATAAGTTAAGCGCCAGTGAGTAACTGTAGAAAAAGATTCTTTGCGTGAGGATTCTTTTATTTAGCTGGCTCTCCTACTGCTGTTGTGGGCGTTGTGATATGTTTGCAAATGATTTCCTCTTTAAAAAATTAGATCAGAGTCAAAGGTGTCCCTGTCATAATGTCACTCTCCCTTGCATTCATACATGCTTCATTGACTGTGCAAGAAAGGGTTAGAGTTACTTCTGGCATGCTGGGAGTTGAACAGTCCACAGCCCATCTTTCCACGCTATAGCCCGCGGTGAGTGATGTACTGGAAATGGCTATGAGCCTGCAACCAGCTATTGTTTTGCTTTGTCAAAATCCACAAATGTCTTTGGGAGGGTGTTATGCATGTGAACATAATCCTTCTTAGATGTTACCCCAGAAAGAAGGTTGAGAATCACTGAGCTTTTATAATTCAATTTTAAGAGTTTTAGGCAATCACACGTGTTGCTTGAAGCCAAAGCTGCCGCCTCTATACATACAGGAACAGTCAGCAAGCTGCACCTTCTGGGAGAAGGGAAGGATGTGCCCTAAGAGGTGTGGTAGCCATACCTGGGAGACAGGCAGGGCAGAGCCAGACCAGGCACAGGCCAGAGCCAGCCAAACCAGCACAGATGCAGAGTTGGGCCCTATGGCGATATTAGGAATGAATATGAGAGCCTGTGGATTGTGTAGAGAGCATCCAATGGGGACCTATGTCACAGCTCCAAGGGTGTGAACAAGCAGCAACACACCAGGTAGCTATCCACATCTGAGACTTGGAACCAAATGTGGCACGGGCAGTTACAATTGGTATATAAGGGTACCAAACTGAGAGAAGGCTGGGAGAGTGAAAGTGGGTTCCGGGCTCAGGGGTTAGATAATTTAGGACTAGAGCCACAAGACCGCCTTCCAACATCCTGAGGGCCTGAGAGGAGTCTGGGCACCAAGGGCCTTGACAAAAGCTAGGCATTAGCTGGGAGGCCTGCTGGGTGGTGCTGACACCAGCTCTAGGTTTGGGACACCCCTGAGGCAACATTTCTGATACTGAACATTGTTGGGTTGGGATTTGGCAAGACTGGGCAGCCGGAATGACCCTGGGGCAGGCAGGGCCTGACAGAACAGGGGCCCGTGGGTGCTGTTCAGTTTGCTATTAGATTGAGTGACCTTTGTGAAGCTAGCGGTGTCACTCCAATTGTCCTGTCTGGTGGTGGCATCTGCCCCTGTCCTAGGAACACACTCACATCAGTGGGGAGGGTGCTGGCTTAGGAGACTGTTCTTGGCTTTCCTGCTAACGGGCTGTGGGACCTCAGAGAGCTCCCCTCGCCTCCTTGGGTTTCATTTTCTTTATCTGGAAAAGGAGAGGTTTGGACCAGATGACTTCCAGAGACCTTTTCAGCTGTAACACTCAAATATGCTGTTGGAAGAAGCAAAATCATTTTTAATTCATTTTCCAGTCATCCTAAAGTTGGTATGAAATGAACATGCTAGATGTTTATTGTTTCCTCAGCAACTTTTGTGTTTGTTTTTCTCTTATTGGTTGGTTTTCAACCATTTGAAACAACCACATTCTTTCTATAAATGGATTACCCACACGACCCCTTGTTTATGGTCTCAAGGGGAAGAAATAAGAATAAATTAATTGTGTTACTAAGTATATTGCAATTGGACAGCAGCTGGCTCCGTTTTGTGCTATGAAAGAGGTTTAACAATAGCAACAGCTACCTCGTACTCCGTCTGTTACTCTTACCTATTTTGAGAAAGGTAATTCTGCTGGTAATTGAAGGCAGCAGCTTGCTTTTTCCTATGCCAGACAATAAATAGGCATTAATATTACAGCAGTATAACTTCCAGTAATTCATTCATTTTCCTTTTAAGTCTGGTGGTATTCTCTAAGTAATTTCTCTTGTAAATAAGGTAATTGCTTTTATTTAAACTTAGGTGATTATCCTGAAATTTCAGTGTTTTCTTTACATAAAAAGTTCAAGAGGACAGTTTTACCAAATATCAAAGCAGCTTAATGAGATTTGCTAATTGAGGTTAGTGGGGAAGGCATGTGGGTGAAGAACATTTTTTGTTAAACAAATTGAGGAGGCTAAACTGTAGGCCAGCTTCCCAGGGGCTAATGCATGTATGCTTTCTACCTTAACACCGAATGGGGTAGATTTCCTGGCAATTTTCAACTGTGTGTGTCCTCTCTTGTCTTTTATGTTTATTTTCTTTGGACTCTAATATCATTTCTCCTCAATGCAGGCCACTGGAGTCTTTGCTTCCCCCTGTTTTACAGTGAGTTGAAATAGTCACTTAAAAAGGGAATATGACCATTTGCCTTTAAAAAAAAAAAAAAGAAGAAGTTGCTGTTGAGTCAGTTCCAACTCAGGCAATCCCATGTGTTACAGAGTAAAACTGCTCCATAGGGTTTTCTTGGCTGTAATCTTTATGGAAGCAGATCACCAGGCCTTTCTTCCATGGTCCCACTGGGTGGGTTCCAGTCACCAACCTTTAGGTTAGTAGACAAAAGCAAACCATTTGTACCACCCAGGCACCTCATTTGCCTAGTAACATTGGTTTATTTGAATAATAAAAGGATCATGAATGTTCTTCTGGGATACATTCTTTTACTGTAGCATCTGTGGGAGTGGATGGACCTCTTATTGGGATTTAACTTTTTAGGTAATAATTTCCCAGCCAATGGAGCCATTCATTGTCCATTTACTATATGAGTGCTCTTTGAAGGCAGTGTCAAAACTCCAGCTCTCTCTGGTCATTTGATCCATCTTATTTACCAACAGTTGAGTTTTCTTGGGCAGCAAATAAAGTCTGTGGTTGGCAACTTAGCAACCAAGCAGCGAGTGGCTCTATGGCTACCGCTGCCAATGGCATGAACACATTTCAGGCAGTGTTTTTTTCCTTCCATGACCAGGGACAGTAGGCTGTCAAGACTAATAAATGATACTGGGTCCCTCCTTTGGGCCATTGTTTTTAATGGAACCTTATCAAGTTTCTGCAGTGCATCTTTAAGTACCTGGGGAACCAGCATTGGATTAGCATTCTACTACTAACCCAGACACTGTTTAAACTTTAAACAATAGATGATGGTGCTGGTGATGGTGGAGATGATGACATTGATTATCTAACATTTACTGAAAGTTTACTTAGTGTAAGGCTCTATGCTAAAGACTGATAGCGTGGATTACCATATTTAATCCTCACAGCACTTCTGTGGAGCCCTGGTGGCGCAGTGGTTAAGAACTTGGCTGCTAACCAAAAGGTTGGCAGTTTGAATCCGCCAGCTGCTTCTTGGAAACCCTAGGGGGCAGTTCTTCCTGTCTTATAGGGTTGCTATGAGTCGGAATTGACTCAACGGCAATGAGTTTAGTGTTTGTTTGTTTTTTTTTAAATAAGCCAGGTATAGAGAGAAGCTAAGTAAATTCAGCAAGATCACACAACATATAAAATGGTAGAACTGGGATTCAAATCCAGGTATTTTGATTCCAGAATCTATGCTTTTAACCCTGTGCCTTATCCTAGGTGGAGGTTGATTCTAGTTTTTAATAAAAACTGAAAGCAACATAGGCATCTGACTCATACCCCTATTCCCACCTCCCCTACCTCTTATTCATACCATTATCACATTGGTATTCAAGGTAACACTCAAATACTCAAATGATTATGAACTGCAGAGAACATGAGGACTTTTGGATAGTCTTCCTCCAAACAGTTAGATGTTGAAAAATCTATAAACTTTTTAGCAGAGTATTATTAAAGTTCAGGACAAGTTCTGTGACTTTGGATGATAACTCACAAAAAGGCCCAGAAAACATGACTAGTTTTTGCATATTATGGTTTATGGCAAAAAAGTTAAAATAGTTGAAGTGGTACCATCGTACCATATTTTCCGCAATAGTTTGAAGTATAGGCATATTAGTGCTGTTTACTTTGGATATTGTGACTACTTTTTACAGCCTTTGAGAACACTTGGACTTACACAATGAAAATGGTTGCACCAGGTCAGTGATAATTAAAAAAAAAATGGTGAAAGGGAAAGGGAGGAGTAATCATTTCTCTGAAACTTCACACACACTTGTGGGCATAAAATGACATTCCCAAAGTTTCCATGATTTAGATACAATATGTGATTCTTAGCAAGTTATATGTTCGAAATACTGAATTTTCTCCCTGTTTCCACCATATAACTTTAAAAAATAACAGTGTGCTCAGCATAGCGCTGGCATATATGGGCACTCTGTAAATGTTAATTTCCTCCTCTTTCTCTCAACCTCTCAGCCAAGTTTTTTTTTTTTTTTTTTTTTGGTGGAGGGGAGGTATGGAAGGGAAAATTGTGGGTATCAGTTGGAAGTTAATCCAAGAGAGGCATTACTTTTTGGAACACCTTTGATTTTGCCAGAGTAAAAATACTGTAAAGGATCAGATTTTGTCCTTTGGCTGTAGCAAGATTGTAGAAATACTTCATTGACTGATCAAGGTATTCAGTCTCTATCCAATAAGGGAGAGTGGTGTCATAGGACTTTTTTTCACTCCATGTGCTGTACTTTTCATTTTGGAAAATATCAAATGTATTTAAAAAAAAAAAAAAAAAGTAGAATAGTAGAATGAATCCCCATGAACTCACCATCTGGTTTCAACAATTACCACTTCATGGCCACTGCTGTTTCATCAGAGTTCCTGGGTTGTGCATATGGTTAAGTACTTGGCTGCTAACTGAAAGGTTGATGGTTTGAGTTCACCCAGAGGGATCTCAGAAGAAAGACCAAAAATTAGCCATTGGAAACCCTATGGAGCATAGTTCTACTCTGACACACAGGTGCTCGCTGTGAGTTGGAATTGACTTGACAACTGGTTTGTTTGTTTGTTTGTTTTTGTTTATTACTTTCCATCTCCTACTGGATTATTTTGAAGG